AATTCGTTCGCAAATTCATTAAAACAAGTGTTTTTCGTAAATGTTAAAATTGATTGAATATCATCGATGATAAAATGAAATCTGTCTATTAGATACCAAAGATAATAAGAAGAAAATGGTTGATATTGGTTGTGTGTTGATGCTAACTGAGTTAATTTCCTCTGTTTCTGGTCAACTGGTAAATTGTTTGATTTCATGTAATTATACATAAAACCGCCAATTGTTTTTTCATCTGTGATAATATCTAAGTTTCTTATTATCGGTAAAAAGTTTATGTAATCATTAATGTATTTTTCATCAATGTGACCCTTTACTTCAGCCACGAATAAAGTATTTTTCTTCTTAATTATTCCCAGTGCTTTTGCTTTCTTTGTTGCTGTATCACAAATGATAACACCATTTAATCTTCCCGGCATATACATTTTATGGTCAGTATATTGAATGAAATCATGGGGATTAGATGAAAATGATGAAGGATATAATGAATTAAAATCAACACCAACGAAATGAGTCATGATGTTGGAAGTGTCCTCATTTGATACAGTTTTAGTTTCTGGACTATATGAAAGTTTATTAATGTGTGTGATTCCTTTAAGATTAACACGATGTTGAACATTTGATAGATCACCAGTAATTCCATTACGGAGAATGTGATAAGCTTCAACTGAATCTAAAGTCATTGGTAAATTATTTTTTAATGCGTGATTTCTTAAATTGATTCTTAAACGTTGCATGTCTTCATCTTTATTTGATTTTACGACATTGCAATAACAACACATTAACTGACAATTTTCTTTGGTATGTGGTTTTTCATTATCGATTCTATCCAATGTTGGTTTATTTGCATATGTAAACGCTTTACCACACATTTTGCATTTAGATGAAAGGATTAAATCGTGATAGTATTGAAAATCATCCATTGAAACATTATTTTTAGTATCCCTTTCTGCTTTTTCATCTTGTTTCTTATATGATTCAATTTTATATTTCCAATACTTTTTCGTTAATTCAAAACTTGATTCTATCTCTTCCTCAGGATATTTTTCATTAGGATTAAAGTCTTTATATGCTAAAGCGTAACGAATCATTGAAGCATTCGATGATAAAGAAAGATTATGAAGCATGTCAATTTTATAAACAAATGTTTCTTCAATAATTTTATCAATTGGGTCAATCATAATTTCAACATCTTTATTGCAATAATGAATAAAATATTCTAATCTATTCTTAAAATTTTTAGCATCATTGAGATATATTTGATAATCACTATCTGATATAGTTTCTTGAGTTAATGCTGAATAAAATGAATCTTTCGTGAATGGTTCCTCTTTATATAATTCTTCTTCGTAATTTTCCCACGTGATGAATTGATAAGGGAAAAAGGATTTAACGCGTGATTTATTGTTTCCGAAATCTTGAGTGAATTGGTCTAATGTCCCACCCGCTATATAATTTCTGATGTCAATAAATCTCAATTCATATGGAACGTTTGTTTTCTGTACAATGATTTGCTTAAATTGAGAAGAAGAACTCAGCATTGATTTTATTTTCCATTTTGCAGTATTTAAATCACGAAGAATTAAATTTAAATCAAACTTTCCGAATTAAAACCTATGATATTCACTTTATTGAATTCCTCATCTAGAAGTTCTTTAAATGCTTCCTTCTGTTTTCATTTAATGTATGGACAAAGTCCCCGCCGTTTGCGGCTTCATTAATTCTTCATATTGTTCAATATTTGATTCAACAACTAATGAACAGGTTGAAAATAAAAACTCAATCCAATCAGAAATAAAGAATCACTCGAAGTTAAGCAAAAATTCCTCGTGTATGTTTTATCATTTAATTTAACCGTTGATGATACCATGAATGGTTTTAAGTAAGCGTTCAAAGTTGCACACTCAGAAAGTTGTAATTCTTCTTTAGTCTCTAATGTTTCAAAGTCAAAAGTAATATAATATCTTGTCGGTTGATAATATTCCTGCAAATTGTGAGCTAATAACCACTGATATATCTTCTGTTTCGTAATATGTGGTGCATATGGTTGCTGTGTCTTTTGCAACTGAACGTCTTGAATTAATCTTCCATTATTTTCTTTACATTTCTCACAATGCTTTAAAAATCTTCTTTGGTTTTTCCTTTCTGGATCATCACGGATAGAATAAACTTCTTCTTTACAATATGGACAAACTTTATAGCCGGTGAGTGCTTCAACGTCTGTTATTCTGTCAGCGTGAAGTTTTCCACATGGACTCTGTGTTAATAAAATATTTACTGTTTCAAATTCTGGATCTATCATTATTGATTCCACTAATGGAAAGTCTACCTTATTTATGTCCACGTCTTCTGGTTGAGGATCACAATAATAGAAATCAATATTAACATTTAACATTCTCGCTAATCTCTCACTTTCTGATGAAATGTCAAACCCTTCATATGCATCTATTGCTTCATTTAAATAGCTTCTACGAGTTTTAGGATTAACACCATCAGGAATGTTATAGAAGCGTTTAAATAACCTTCTACCTTCTGCTCTAATTTGATTATCATTCATTTTAGCTGTTCCGTTTTGTTCATTTATGTAAGAATAAAAATTAAAAAATAAATAAAAATAAAGTTTATTTTTTAAAGCCCATAAAATGAATTAAGGACACATAAATTTTTATCATCTGCAACGTGACGAATACATTTTAATTTACTCAAGAATGCGTACCCTGATACATTAAATCTAATTCCTGTCTTATTTAATTTCACAACTTTGAAAAGGAATGTATGAATAGCTATAAAATGATGAGAAGATGTTTTATGGGTTGCTTCCATTTTTTCTGAAATAAATGAATAAATATAATGTTTATAAGTTTTCATATCTTTTATGTTCTTAATAACGAATGGTATAGACCTTTCAACTTCGTCTTCCTTCGGTGCTGTTCTTTCATATGAAACATTATTGGTATCTTCAACAATGAAACCGCAATCACATAAAATTTTATATGTTCAATGGTTTCTTTTGATATTTTATCTAATAAATCAAAAACTTTATCAACACCCGTGCATTTATTTAAATAATAATTTGTGTAAATATCATGATCTTCTTTCTTAATCGTATTAGTTGCATATGTCACGTTTTAAGAGCTTTTTTGAATTTCTCAGAATCGAGAGGGGGTGAAAATAAGATACAAGGGTATTTTTCATTATCAATAAATTGTAACTTATGTTTACGTATAAATTTAGTACCTTCTTCTGAAAGTGTTTCGTCTATTTCACCATCTAATAAATTTTGTGTTGATTCTGAGACATAATTTTTATATCTTTCTTCATGAGATTTCTGAACTGCTGATTCTGAAGCTGGGATATTCATTAAACCCTCTACTTCATTTTCATTATATTTTTCAACTTCTCTTAATTCCTTAATTTTTTCATCTATTTCATCTCTTATTTTTTCCAGTCTTTCAATTTCATCATATTCATCATCTTTAATTCGTTCTTCATAATATTCAGGGAAAACATCAGGTTCTTTAGGTTTTTCTTCTTCAGATGTGGATATAAGAAATTTATAACATCATCTTTATTCATTTTCCATCATAATCTAAATCTTTTAAATAACTCCGCGAATTTTTTACAATTTCTTAAATAATATTTATCAACTTCATAACCCACCTCCTCTAATATATCCTTTATTTCCTCGTTTGTGAATCCCAATTTTTTAACGTTGTTAGTTTTGACGCTCATTTCATACAAAATAAAAAATAAAATAATAAACATAACTAAGTTTTTAATTTTTCGTAAGAAGTTTATTTTATTTTTATATATAAATCATTCTTAAGGTCAAACAGACTTCTTATTTTTATATGAATTCCATCCTCTTTAATGTCATCAATGATTTCCATTTCATTATTTTCAATTTCTTCTTCTCGTTTATGAGGCCTTTGATTATGACTCCATTGATTCCATGAAATTAAATATTCTTTATCATTATATTTATACCTCATTAGCTTATTTTGGCTTTCATATTCATTTAATAATTCACAATCTTCATTTTTAAATTGAAGTTAAACCCATTCAGGATTTAAACAATGTTTAATTAATCACGGAATATCTGACATCATCTATATATATAGCTTCTTTTATAAAAGATAAAATAAATTATTTTAAAATTAATGTTAATTTTTTTAATGGTTTATGGGCTGAGTGTAAATGTCTTACAATTTTGAAAATTTTTTAAATCTTGATTTATTCAAAAACGTAAGAATAAAAACCGTAAGAATCATACATTTTTTACTTCATATGTTAAAAAAAAATGATACAAAATCGCTCGATATTGTATGAATTCTTACGTTTACAAAAAAGGTCACTAAACCCGTCCACATATACTACTCTGCAGCATGGCCTATTTAGATAGTTTATCTTTGCATTTTACTTACTCTATCGGAATTTTTTGTCTTCCATGCTAATATAGCTAATAACTTAATAAACAACAAAATATTTATTAATCATCTGATAAATTTGAGATTTACAAAGATTGGAAATGATTTTACAACAGATATCAAATAATTTATCTATACATTTATTGGATCAAAAAATATATTCAAAATGTTCAATTAACGTTTGAAAGGTCTTCCTATTCTCTTCATACATTTCATTTGTTTACAAATAGATTATCCTCATTCTAAGGTTATCTTATTGAAATATCAATAAAATTATGAAAAATTATTTCAAAAAGATTAGAATGATTTTGATTTATGACATTATATGAGAAAATGAAATAGATTTCCATTTGGAAAATATTTTTGAATATGACAGTTAAAAGTGAATAAAATTAATTGGAAAAAAAATTGTGAAATCTTGATAGAGATTGATGAGTTTACTAAACATAAGTGGTTGATGAAAACTTATTTTTATTATCTTCTCAAATGGAATTTCTGAATTGGAATTTAATATTGTGAAGAAAATTTTAATTGTGAGAGAGATTTTAAATAGTGAAGAAAGTGACATAAAGTTTCATGAACTCCATTATAGAGTCACATGCTCATGTTGGCTCAACACCTATCCAAGACCAAATCGTTACACCTGATTATAATATTGATGCCTTATTCCTACCCGATTGCCGTTATCTTACAAATACTCAACTTAGAGACGAATTTGTAAAGCAATTGACTTCTATCAAAGAACTTAAATTCAAGCTTCTGAAGGCTTTGTTCAAAGTTGATATAAAAAGAGACTGTCTAATTTTTGGTGTGAATTATTACTTTCCCCAATCATCAACAATAGTTGTTTTTGCACCAATTGTAATACTTGATAGCTCAAAATTCATTGGTTATTACAAATGCTATCTTGATTTTCCAAAATTCAAGTCATTAAAGCATTTACTGACCCGCCTGACTGATTATAGCTTTAAGGATGATCTAACATTCAAGATTATTGGGGTCGAATATTTAAAGACCTCTATCAATTTTGCTTTTGATCAAATAGAGGAAATTAAAGGCTTTCCTCAAGGCGATTTATCTTATTTCTATGTGTATACAGAAGAATCCATCAAAAATGATCATCCGTTCTATTTAGGAGTAAGTAAGCAAACAGATGTTCAAGAAATTAAAACTTATGAAATACACCGCTCATTCTTTTTCAATTCTAGAGAATTCCGAAAAGTTCATCTACCTCCAAAGAGGAATTCAAATAAGATTTGCAATTCAAATAAAAGCCACACTGGCTACTCAGAACTCAAAGAGCATGCAGATTGAAACTCACTACTATATATTTAATTTTTTATGAATTGATGTAAACAAAATTTCTTCTCTCTAATTCTTTATTTTCCTTGATGTTAATAAATTAATATCTAAGTTATCCTCAAAAGTATGTTTACGGTAAAACTGATGATACTTTTTAAATGATTTGTTCTGATAATGAAACAAATTTTTTTTGTGAAATAATCTGTAATATCCCGGAGCAAAAAAGTTAGCTTAAATTAGCTTAAAAAGTGTATTCAGCTGTAAATCAATCGATACAGAGGCCATAATAAGTTTTACAGATTATACTCTATACTTATTCAGCTTCAGAAAGAATTCCATCTTCAAAAATAGTGGCAAATATGAAATAAATAATATATAAATTTACAATTACAAATCCCAATAAAACATAAATATTTTTATGAATATATTTCTTTAATGCCGATGCAGAGAATATTTCAGTCTATATGCATTGTCAATGCAGACTGGACATCTTTCAATACTTGCATGAACTTCATTTGAACTGAGTTCATGAGAGTCTACACCGTATAATATAAGTGTTTGTGAATTTTTATATTTATGATAATCAATTTTGATTTGATAGTTTTCTTTTCCTGATGTAATATTTAATGTTTCATTGTATCTTAGTCTTTCTTGCTGTGGCAAATAGTAAAAATAGTAATAAAAAGTTATATTATTTCTGATATCGTTATCTTCGACTTCTATGTCAAAGTAAACGTAGTCTGATACTAAAGGCTTACTTCTGAGTCTTAACTTTGGACTGTTATAGTATAAATTGAATTGTGCAGATTCGCTAGATGTGTATTCATCATCCTGATAATACAATGTTATGGAATGATTTCCATATTTGATATTTTCTGGAATTTCAACATCAATTGAATAATTATTAATTGTTTCGTCGTCATTCTTATTAACTTTAAATGCTATAGTATGAAGCTCTGTACCATCAATTGAATAATAAATTGCATTGTCATGTTCATAACCATCCCAATATATTAGTTGAAAAGTAACATTTAAATACCTATCATTAGGATAAAAGTAATCGTTTTTGGCTAATTTAACTTCAGTTATAATTGGATAAGACCCACTGTTGCTAGAGCCATCTGAATCACTAGAACCTTGTAATGGTTGCATTTTATGTTTCAAATTATTGAATTTTTTCTTTTCAATAGAAATAGCTGTGATATATGAGAATGAACAAATTTCTGGAATTGAATATGAACCAATATCATTAAATAAGTATAGTCTGCAAGAAATGCATCCTCCTGTTATATTAACGAGATTTTCTGAAATATTATTTTCAAAAGAACAAATATTTGAAGAAAGTAAAGAATACCCTGCATTTCTTGCAATAATGCATTTAGCAACATATAAATCAGCTTTGTTTTTATTAGCAAATTCAATAATATTCGAATTAATTAATTTGTTTTTGCAAAAATTTGAAACAATACTGCACTTATAAATGTGATGATGATTATCATTGTTGGATTGATCAATATGGTACATACAAAACTGATTTGTCGAATTATTGTTAATAAATGCAGAATATGTTACATTACTTATTGATTGTTGTAAAACTAACTTGTAAATGCAATTGTTATCGGATTTTGAGTTTGATATATTTAAATTTTTAATTTTATTTCTACCACTGTGAGATAATTGACCAAATAAAGCATTATTGTTAGAAATAGATGATTCTAATATGTAATTTATCGAATTTGTATAAATAATAGAATGTGAAACTTGATTATACGAGATTTTGTTATTTTTATCAGGAATATTATTGGTATTATTATAACTACATATAAAGCATTGAACACAGTTCCCTGCTTTTTGAAAGGCAAACCCAAATTTTAGCTAAAAGTGACAGGGGAAAAAACGTTTAGTATTAAAAAAAAGACCGATGAGAGCTTCGTTCGAAATATAGAGGGAACTGAGAATGCGCAACCATTCTCAGGGAATATTGGATGCTATTCCCGTTCCCTCTGTATGGAAAATTGAGGTTTTCAAAGGGAGTTAAAATAATATCAAATTTATACTAATTTACTTCAAAATACAAAAGTATTTGACAGCTAAAATTAGTTACTTTAGCAAGCCTATCAATACCCTTTTACGATTATTGCTACTTTTTCGAAATAAAAGTAAAAACAAATTTATACTAATTTACTTCAAAATACAAAAGTATTTGACAGCTAAAATTAGTTACTTTAGCAAGCCTATCAATACCCTTTTACGATTATTGCTACTTTTTCGAAATAAAAGTAAAAACAAATTTATACTAATTTACTTCAAAATACAAAAGTATTTGACAGCTAAAATTAGTTACTTTAGCAAGCCTATCAATACCCTTTTACGATTATTGCTACTTTTTCGAAATAAAAGTAAAAACAAATTTATACTAATTTACTTCAAAATACAAAAGTATTTGACAGCTAAAATTAGTTACTTTAGCAAGCCTATCAATACCCTTTTACGATTATTGCTACTTTTTCGAAATAAAAGTAAAAACAAATTTATACTAATTTACTTCAAAATACAAAAGTATTTGACAGCTAAAATTAGTTACTTTAGCAAGCCTATCAATACCCTTTTACGATTATTGCTACTTTTTCGAAATAAAAGTAAAAACAAATTTATACTAATTTACTTCAAAATACAAAAGTATTTGACAGCTAAAATTAGTTACTTTAGCAAGCCTATCAATACCCTTTTACGATTATTGCTACTTTTTCGAAATAAAAGTAAAACAAATTTATACTAATTTACTTCAAAATACAAAAGTATTTGACAGCTAAAATTAGTTACTTTAGCAAGCCTATCAATACCCTTTTACGATTATTGCTACTTTTTCGAAATAAAAGTAAAAACAAATTTATACTAATTTACTTCAAAATACAAAAGTATTTGACAGCTAAAATTAGTTACTTTAGCAAGCCTATCAATACCCTTTTACGATTATTGCTACTTTTTCGAAATAAAAGTAAAAACAAATTTATACTAATTTACTTCAAAATACAAAAGTATTTGACAGCTAAAATTAGTTACTTTAGCAAGCCTATCAATACCCTTTTACGATTATTGCTACTTTTTCGAAATAAAAGTAAAAAAAATTTATACTAATTTACTTCAAAATACAAAAGTATTTGACAGCTAAAATTAGTTACTTTAGCAAGCCTATCAATACCCTTTTACGATTATTGCTACTTTTTCGAAATAAAAGTAAAAACAAATTTATACTAATTTACTTCAAAATACAAAAGTATTTGACAGCTAAAATTAGTTACTTTAGCAAGCCTATCAATACCCTTTTACGATTATTGCTACTTTTTCGAAATAAAAGTAAAAACAAATTTATACTAATTTACTTCAAAATACAAAAGTATTTGACAGCTAAAATTAGTTACTTTAGCAAGCCTATCAATACCCTTTTACGATTATTGCTACTTTTTCGAAATAAAAGTAAAAACAAATTTATACTAATTTACTTCAAAATACAAAAGTATTTGACAGCTAAAATTAGTTACTTTAGCAAGCCTATCAATACCCTTTTACGATTATTGCTACTTTTTCGAAATAAAAGTAAAAACAAATTTATACTAATTTACTTCAAAATACAAAAGTATTTGACAGCTAAAATTAGTTACTTTAGCAAGCCTATCAATACCCTTTTACGATTATTGCTACTTTTTCGAAATAAAAGTAAAAACAAATTTATACTAATTTACTTCAAAATACAAAAGTATTTGACAGCTAAAATTAGTTACTTTAGCAAGCCTATCAATACCCTTTTACGATTATTGCTACTTTTTCGAAATAAAAGTAAAAACAAATTTATACTAATTTACTTCAAAATACAAAAGTATTTGACAGCTAAAATTAGTTACTTTAGCAAGCCTATCAATACCCTTTTACGATTATTGCTACTTTTTCGAATAAAAGTAAAAACAAATTTATACTAATTTACTTCAAAATACAAAAGTATTTGACAGCTAAAATTAGTTACTTTAGCAAGCCTATCAATACCCTTTTACGATTATTGCTACTTTTTCGAAATAAAAGTAAAAACAAATTTATACTAATTTACTTCAAAATACAAAAGTATTTGACAGCTAAAATTAGTTACTTTAGCAAGCCTATCAATACCCTTTTACGATTATTGCTACTTTTTCGAAATAAAAGTAAAAACAAATTTATACTAATTTACTTCAAAATACAAAAGTATTTGACAGCTAAAATTAGTTACTTTAGCAAGCCTATCAATACCCTTTTACGATTATTGCTACTTTTTCGAAATAAAAGTAAAAACAAATTTATACTAATTTACTTCAAAATACAAAAGTATTTGACAGCTAAAATTAGTTACTTTAGCAAGCCTATCAATACCCTTTTACGATTATTGCTACTTTTTCGAAATAAAATAAATTTATTATCAAAAACCTTTTTTTTTCTTAGTAAAAATAAACGAAATTTTTTACCTTATGAACTTTTGATGGAAATATGCAAATTTAAAATAATAAAGAAAGCCGCGAGCGAAGCGATCGCTTAGTTCGAAGATTTTGATTCAAATCTTTGCTGATCTGTAATTCGCGGAAGCCGCGAGCGAATCGAGCGGCTTAGGTCTAAGATTTTGATTCAAATCTTTGCTTATATTCCTTAAATTCTTTATGAAACTCGCAACAGTTCCATAAAAAATTTTAAATTCTAAACTGTCGAAATTACCGATCGGTAATCACACCCTTCACGGGTGTGTCACTTTTAGCTAAAATTACCCCTACTCCTTTTTGAAATATTGCGACACTTGAGTTTGAATCAAATTTTGATTGATAAACAAGAATATTAGTGTTGTTGTTAATAGATTTGACAAATATTGATGGTTGATTTAGTTTATAAAATAAAACATGATAAATCAAATAATTTCCTTTTGTAATAGATTGTGATGGATTTGTTAAATTGCTATAGCCTTCAGTAAAATATTGATTCCATATGGTTTCAGTATTTGATTTCATTAAATTATTTGAAAATTGAAAATAATTTTTCAAGTGTTTGTTGTTGTTTTGAAATAATAGCGAACCTGCGTTTGTGAATAAATGATAAATGACTGGTAAGAACAATATTGCTTGGCTCAGTTTCATTAATGGTGTAAATATTTGTCTGGAACTCAATATTGAATTTTGTAATAAAACGGTTTTAAGATTTGTTGGTTGGAATTATTATGGATAGATATTAAGTATTAAATGACATTTTTATAACGTGCTGTTCTATCGTTATTTTTCAATTAATTTGCCAAAATTATTTTTGGCTCACAGATCGATTTTTTGATGTAAGATAGCATAAGATTTTGATTTAATTAAAGTAACATAATTTGTCATCGACTCCATTTAGCATCATGAATATTGTTATTTCAATATTAAAACCAAATTACTAATTCATTAAATTTGATATTGAAAATAGATCTGGACTGAATGAAAGGAAATTCTTATTATTGATTTTAATTTGTTTAAAAATCTGCTTCATTTCCTATTCCAGAGTTTCCCATATGGTTGCTGAATTGATGTATAGTTTCCAAATTTAAAATGAGATGATAAAGCTGAGTAAATCAAATGGGGTTCATTATAAATTCCCCCATTATTATGAATACGGTATCATTATTATAAATTCCATTTAATACGCATAATGGATTAATTCGAATAAAGGGTCAATTCGAATAACCGCCAAAAATGGAATAACGGGTTTTATGGAAATTCCATTTATTTTATCGGAATTTCGAATAACCGCTTTATTCGAATTTCCATTCAAATTAGAATTTCGAATAAACGGGTGTTATTGGAATTTCTATTCCCAGAAATGTAGTATCTAATATATGTAATTGATCTAGCTAATCAAAATTTCATGCCAAATATATTTAATCTTTTGGAAACAAATGATAATCCATATTTGCTATATTTGATGTGTGAGTATTAAGCCAAAATATAACATTTCTGGGAATGGAAATTCCAATAACACCCGTTTATTCGAAATTCTAATTTGAATGGAAATTCGAATAAAGCGGTTATTCGAAATTCCGATAAAATAAATGGAATTTCCATAAAACCCGTTATTCCATTTTTGGCGGTTATTCGAATTGACCCTTTATTCGAATTAATCCATTATGCGTATTAAATGGAATTTATAATAATGATACCGTATTCATAATAATGGGGGAATTTATAATGGACCCCAATTGAAATAAAAGGTATGCTATGAAATTGCATTATAATAAATGACTAATCATAATTCATTGAACATTTTATCTAAATCTTTACTTATCTTATACATATAATTTTAAAAGTGTTTAATTGCATAACTATTTGCATAACTACCGCTAGTAAACTTGGATCTTCTTTGATTCAACTTCGCTGCCTGAACGGTATTCTTCGTATTATTTGATAGCAGTTTCAATGACATTCACTTTGTCAATGATGATGAACTGAAGAAGTGAGAAAACGGACAACAAACAAGAGGTGAAAACAAGTTAACAACATGAACATAATAGCCGAGCAAGTCCTGAAAGCTCGTTTTTATCTTCTAAAAATCCTTCACACTTTGAAATTGGGACTTTAAAAAATTGGTAATACTGTCCAATTTATATCTGAATACTTTCATGAATTACATCATCTAAATTAGCAGATTTTTCATCCGAATTTTTCGCAGTGGAAAGGTAAAACAAAATTGCTAAAGGGGGCAAATTCATTATTTGAAACCATAAAGTAGTGATAATTCTTCTAGAATTAGAATTACCCAAAATCACGTAGTAATTCGAATTTAACCAAGCAACAAGCAAAACAAATATTATTAGAAATAGTAAAAAGAGAAAAATGGCAATATCAAAATAGATTTTGTTCTTTGGTTCAATTATATTTCTTAAATACGAGAATTGAAATGCTACAATCAGCATAATTAAGTTCAGGAGATAAGCAACTAATTCAAATTTAAATAAAAGGTTGTACATGAAAAAATCATTTCCTTCAAAGTTCAGAGAAGGTACAAAATAAAAAGCAATATAAAAAACAAATCCTAAAAATACAAGTATGTATTGTATCACTTTTGATATATAATATATTACTTTTGAATAAATTACATTAAACATCATTAAAATTTTCGTAATATCATTAAAAAACATAATGAGTGCTGAATCTTGCAAAATTCGTACAACGCCTGTCAGGATTATTAATCTAGAACTCTGGTATGTCAATATCGAAAATGAAAACAAAGAAAAACAAATAGAGCAAATCATATTTGAGAAACAAAATAGTATTCTATTGTTTTTAAATTTGTTCCGAATTAGATTTATTTGATTTAATAACAAAATACTGATATATGAATAAGGAATTAGTAAAATTAAACCAAACAACATCAAAAAGATACTAAATGGAGTATCACATGAAGGAAATAATGTAACTTTGCATCTAGATTCAATTTTACTAATATTTATTGCGTTTTGAACCATATACGAAAAACGACCAAATAACTGCTATCGTCGTAATTCATTACATTCATTTATATGTCAAAGTCATTTCGGAAAATCTGATTTCACTTCATGATGTTAACTCTATTTTAATATGATTAATATTATCATAATTTTCCAAATTGCTCTCCAACATTCTATGGAATATGGTTTTATATTATCATATCAAAAAAACTGTAAATGTGAGAAAATTTACACATTTCTTGTGCATTTCACAGGCGCACAGTCTGTCAAATGCAAAATAAGTGAAATTATCATATTAATGATTATTTTTGATTTTAATGCTGGAAGGTATTTGAATAAAAAAAATAACATCCAACTTTTTTGACACATTTATACACAATTTATCAGTCTGATCACAATATTGAATTTTGTAATAAAACGGTTTTAAGATTTGTTGGTTGGAATTATTATGGATAGATATTAAGTATTAAATGGCATTTTTTATAACGTGCTGTTCTATCGTTATTTTTCAATTAATTTGCCAAAATTATTTTTGGCTTACGGATCGATTTTTTGATGTAAGATAGCATAAGATTTTGATTTAATTAAAGTGACATAATTTGTCATCGACTCCATTTAGCATCATGAATATTGTTATTTCAATATTAAAACCAAATTACTAATTCATTAAATTTGCGTGTGGTAAATCATTGGAAAATGGTCGAGAATTTGACTGCTGTGAAAACAAGTTGACAACATGAACATAATGACTGGGCAAGTCCTGATAACTTGTTTATCAGAGCTTCATAATTAGATTAGAATACTTTCATGAATTACATCATCTAAATTATCGGTTTTTTCATTCGAATCTTTCGTATTGGAAAGTAAAAATAAAATTGCTAAAGGAGGTAAATTCATTATTTGAAACCATAAAGTAGTGATAATTCTTCTTGAATTAGAATCACCCAAAAGCACGTAGTATTTTGAATTTAACCAAGCAACAAGCAAAACAAATATTATTAGAAATAGTAAAAAGAGAAAAATGGCAATATCAAAATAGATTTTGTTCTTTGGTTCAATTATATTTCTTAAATACGAGAATTGAAATGCAACAATCAGCATAATTAAGTTCAGGAGATAAGCAAATAATTCAATTTTAAATACAGGGCTGGCCAGGAAAAAATCATTTGCATCAATATTCAGAGAAGGGACAGAATAAAAAATAACATATGCATAAATTGCAAAAGCTATAAAAAGGTATTGTAACGCTTTTGATACATAAAAAATGAATTTTGATCCAAAAACGTTAAACATCATTAAAATCTTAGTAATATCAGTAAAAAACATAATTACGGCCGAGTCTAGCAAAATCCTTACAATAGCTGTCAGGATTATTGTTTTAGATCTCTGGTAAGTTAATATTGAAAATGAAAATAAAGAAAAACAAATAGAACAAATCATATTTGAGAAACAAAATAGTATCCCATGGTTTTTAAATTTGTTCCGAATTAAATTTATTTGATTTAATAACAAAACACTGATATATGAATAAGGAATTAGTAATATTAAACAAAACAGCATTAAGAAGATACTAAATGGAGTATCACATGAAGGAAATACTGTAACCTTGCATTTAGAATCAATTTTACTAATATTTAGTGCACTTTGAACCATAAAATAAAAATGATCAAATAATTGCTATCGTCGCAAATCAGAAAATCAACTGATTATCAAAGTAATTTCGGAACAGTTATTTAATATGATTAATGTCACCAAAATTTTCCAAAACGCTCTGCAAAAAGCAACGGAATACATCAAAATTGTAAAGATCAGAAATTCGGAGTTTTCCTGATTATTTTGAATTCCATTTTTGAATTGTTACTCAAAATTTAGTGCAAGTAAATTGTCATTCTATATCATTTACACCTGTCGAACTTTAAAAAAAACTTCATGGAAGAAAGAGGCAAAAAAAATCATGCCTCAGCACTAAAAACAGCATATCATATTTAATATGTCCTTCTTTTTTCACTCTCTCTTCTTCTTTCTTTTCTTTTTTATAGAAAAATTGTATTGAAATCTAAGATCTTTCTAAGGAATTTAGTTTTTAAAAAAATGTTTCTATAGATTTCGATGATTATTATAACGTTAATATATTATATTTTACTAACAGCAATAATATTTTTACATAACAATAAAACTAAAATATATATCTTTGATAGCAATAGATTTTCTATATAAATTATTATATAATAACTAACAGAAGTAACTTGGTCGCATTGAATCTCTAAATCTTTCGAGTTGTTCAGCGACATTCTGGATGAGATTTTGGTTGTAGCAAGACCAGAAATCTGAGAAACCTTGTGAAATGTGTGGCTCCAACATCTGATTGATCTGTTGTGCTTCAGACAATGTCTCAAATGCATCAGTGATGTAATCAGGAACATTCAAGAACAGCAATGTTGACTGGATGATTGAGAAAAGAGCTTTGACACCTGCGATTTTGATGGCTGTTGATTCTCCCTTGAAAATGTATTTCCTGTATTTGTCGAGGTATTCAGGGATATGCTGTCTCAAGAATTTCGATGATTTCAGCAAATATGTGAATGCTTCTGCAGCCGAAACTTGGACATCGAAATTACTTGATTCCAAAGCAGGAAGAACAACATTATCTGTGATCATTTTGATCTCATTGTCTCTGAAGAAGAAGTGGTTTTGTTCGTAGAAAGCGTAGTTCAAGAACAAAATGACTGCTTGGCCTTGCCATGTTTTCTTGTCCATTGACAATTGTTCGTAGATTTTCTTGATGACAGGTAATGCTGATTCTTTTGTCAATGGGCGTTTAGAACATGTCCAAAGCCAATTAGATCGAATCAAATGCAACAAACAACCACGAGCTCTCTTCTCTTCATCTTCTGATTTTCCTAACGCGATGTCCAACCATCCTGCAATTTTATTAATTGCCAATCTGTTTACAATTATACTGGAAAGAGCTTGTGTTGTGAACTGAGCTGTTAACCAAGCGATGAGGAAGTTATCACCTGCCTTGCAAATGAAATCAAATAGCTCTTGTGCTTCAGGAGGAATTTCTTCGTCAAAAAGATTGAAAAATGTTGAAAAAAGTGACGAAACCGCTCGAATTGAACATTCTCTAATTTGTTCAAATTGTTGAGCTTTCTCTTCAAACATTGGTCTGACAGCTTTTTCAATGATCGGTTTGATGAGTTCTGGTGATCTCCAAGCGAATTCCATCAATATATCCACAACTAAAGATGCTGTTTTCACATCTCTTATTTGTGTAATATGTTCAGGAATGACAGATAACAATTCATCAAACAGCCAGAAAAAACGTTGTGGATCGTGATCACTTAGACCACAAACAACAGAAACAAACCATACACTTTGGAAGTCACTTTCTCCTTCTCTTACAACTCTTGCAATGAAAGGTAACAACTGTGGAATAATCTGCTGTATACGTGCAAATTTCCAACCTTTCAATGCAAACATAACAGAAGAAAATAGTTCTCCTGCAATGACATGTTGTGCGACATTTGCATTTGATACAGTTAATTTCTCCATTTGTGTAATTAATCTTGAAACAAAAGGAGGACCAAGTAATCTAATGATTGATACCCAGAACTGAACTCTCATCTTGGAATATGATTCTTCTTGGTGTACTTGTGAATTAACTAATGCAGAACAAATGCGATCGATGTCATCAGGAGAATCAATGAATTGTTGCACAAATAATTTGTGGATTTTAACTCTTTCTTCTGCAGATGAAGGGAAATATTTACGAACTGTTTCTACATCTAATAATTCTTCAACGGAAAGGAATAATGGTTCTTTTGTACTCAATCCTTTCAAAAATCTGTCTTTGAACAATGCTTCGTCATAATTTTCAGGAGTAATCTTGGAAACAGGAACTCTTTGTTTCTTTGGAATTCTGACAATTAATTGTTCGATGAAATTTGGCATCGTTTGCATAACTGCTTCTCTTAAACTTGGATCTTCTTTGAATAGTTTGGGAATTAAGAAATTAAAGACTTCGTAACTTAAAAGTTCTGTCCTGTTCTGTGCCATGGAAATAACTAATGCAGTTGAGTATGATTCAACTTCGCTGTCTGATCGATATTCTTCGTATTGTTTGATAGCTGTTTCAATGACATTCTTGCGTGTAGTCATGAATGCTTTGTCAATGAATCGTTTCTCGTTCAAATCAACAATTTCGAATGTCATGATGATGAATTGTCGAAGAGAACGAACTGAATCTTCTGGTAAATCATTGGAAAATGGACGACAAACAAGAAGTGCTGCTTTGGCAATCGTTGAGAAGTTGACTGCTGTGAAAACAAGTTGACAACATGAACATAATGACTGAGCAAGTCCTGATAACTTGTTTTTGTCGTCTAAACAGCCTTCGCACTTTGAAATAAGGGTTTCAAAGAAGGGGCCAAAGTGGTCGGGGAAAATTGCACTTGTTTCTTGGACAAAAAGTGCACATCTGCATCTGATTTTAGGAGATGGATGAGTACAGATGGTCGCGATCTTCTGGATGATGGCGTCTATCTGTTTGGTGTATGGTGTGATCTTTACGGCGTTTCTGAAGTTGTAAACTTGCAAGATTCTTCTTCTTACGAACCTTGCAGTGACAACATCGGTCACTACGCCTACAGCCAAGAGCTCCTTCATCGACTTGATCTTCGCATTCTCGTCGCGAGTGTCTATATCGACGTGGTCCCTCGGAACAAGTAACATTGGGAGAATCTTGAGGACAAAGTTGATGATTTTCTCCGGCTGATCGAGTTCTAGGAAGGAACTGAGCTTGTCGAGCATGTACTGCCAGTGTCTCTTCAATTTCGGACAATCGCGATGAACCATCTTCGGCTGGATCTGGCTGTCGTCTTTAATAATGGTGTCAAACATCCAGTTGGATATTACGAACCTCAAACCTTTCGCCATATTTGAGATAATCGTAATTCCAATTATCTGCTTATTTACGTCATTCGTACACGCAAGAAATTCATCGGCCCACTTTGTAAGATGATCGCACACTTTATCAGCACAATCAATTTCGGCTTCACTTGGAATGTGCCAGTCTATCGTCGCATTTTCAATAGTTGTAAAGCTATTTGGCTGGCCTGTGTAAGGAGCTGTCTGGAGGAGAGATATGAAAATCAGCTTGACGATGTGGGTTGCCATACGCTGAATTTTCTTGTCTTGGTCATCCAATCCTCTTTTGATGCAATCTAGAATCTTATCAACATTTTCAACGACTAAACCTCTGTCTAATGTGAAAATACCTCTTAATATGGCAAACTCTTGAACCGTCTTAGCTTCAAAAGCCTTTGGAGCAAAGAAATTGATTCCATTTGTACTTATAGATCTGACAATGTCCGAAATAGAGAGTGGCGATAGTCGATCTACGACATCCATGAACAGCTTAACTACTTTCTCTACGAATCTTGGAGATGCGGACCCACAAACGACTGCAATCCAATTATTCGTCAATTCGCCGCACGTTTCGTAATCCATGTCGTTTAGACGCTCGATAAAATCTAGCGCCTTTTTTGTGACAAGGAGATTCATTTCTTCGTCTTCTTCGCGAATTCCGACGCATGATACGTAAACTGAGAATAAACTGAACATTCTGAGGCTCTGGTCAACGTCCATTGGGTTGAGTATTTCCGCAAATTTTAAAATAATGTCTTGGAGCTCGAATTTGTTCTGATCGAAGTAAATACAGACCGGAATTAAGGAAATAACAGTTTTAATTGCCGAAATCTGTAATTTTTCGTATTGTACGAGGTTGTATACGGTATCGATTAAGACAGGAATAACAATTGTCGGTGCTAATGAAGCAAAATCTTTTATGTAAGAGATTTGTGTATCTGCGCAAAATCTTTCCATTTGTATTATCGGTAGTAAAAGATTTACGAACCAATCATGGTCGCTTTGTGTCAAAGGATGAAGTAAACTAACATGATTTTTTCTTTCTAACGAAACACGTTTAATGTATTGAGCCACCAGTGAGTTTAAGAAGAATATAGTAAGTTCTGGAGTGGGATCGTCGTCTGAAATTGCCATTGGAGAGCAATATGGCTCTAATAAAAATATGATTGTTTCAAGATGCTTTCGAATACTATCCTTGCAGCTGCTCGTAAGTAAGTTAATGATAATATAAGTAAAAGAAGGCAGTAATTCGATGTATGATGTTATTCCTAAGTAAAAAACGCGATACATATCGATTTGATAGTCATTAATAGAAATGCTTGTTGTATCTAATGATGAAATGGGCACATTCAAGTAATTTGCGAGAGTATTGAAGAAAAATGGTAAATAAGGTTCCCAATTTGCTTTTGGCGACTCTATATCGCTCTGCCTCGCAAACAACGATAGCCACTGGTAGTCCCATGTCTCAGCGTGGAACATTGGCCATAGTGAAAAGAATTTATCGAACCATAAATCTTGGTGATCATTGTTTACAGGCAAAAAGAGGCAGATCAGGCAATGTCCGAGCACCAATGAATGATGATGAGGTTCGAACAAAGGCATCCATAAGTCCAACATTTCTTGAACTGCTGTGTCCTCAAATAAATACGTACAAGAACGAATCAATACTATTATATTTGAGAAAAGGGATACAGGGGGTTGAAAATGCTTGGTTTTGCTTCTTGAAAGGATGAGTTTTTGGACAATTAAATAAAGAGGTCTCCACGGTAGCTTTATTGAGAGTTTCATGGTGCGGGGACGAAATATGCTAACGAATGATTGACAAGCCTGTGATACTAGCTTCCAATGATCACTTGTTGTTATAAATTTGAATAAAATTAAAAGGATTTTTTCGACTTCTTGCAATGTAAATGTATATAAATCCGAATTTGTGAAGATGTCGAGGCTACTAAGCCAAAAATCTATCTCATCTGGCTTATCTTGCTCAATAGCGGATTCTAATTTCGTGAAAATCTTCTCTTTCCAGTCAATAACTTCACTCGGAATGGAATCACGAATGTAATCAGGGAGGAGACGGGCAAATGCTGCAGCCCTTTCTCCGTTGATCACTTTCATATTGATATTCTTCCGATTTTTTACGATTATTTGGGAAGTCACGTTTTATAAGGTATGTCACATTATTTGTTTTTGGAATTTGTGTTTTCTAGCAAATACGACAAAGTAATATTCGAACGATATTGCGAGAAAAAAAAAAAAAAAAAAAAAGGTATTGGGGGTTCCAGGGCTGCGCCCCTCTACCCCCTTGAAGATTTTTAGTATAACATGCAGTTTATATAAAATGAGGTTTTTTTTGGGGTGTGGGGTCTTCCAGGCACTTCGTGCCTTCTAGCCCCTAAAATTTTTTGAAAGTCGTTGCTGTTGACTTTTCGGTAGAGGACTCAAAATAGTAGAACTATGTCCGGACAAGTAAGGGTCTATCGTCGCTACGTCACCAGGTCACTCGGTCACTCGGTCACTCGGTCACTCGGTCAAATGAACTTCTCTGAAAAAGTGTGACAACATGACATTTTGACAACAGTCCAGGAAGTCTTAACAAGATAGGACGGTTATTTTACAAAACCGACAAGACCTTAACCGAGTAGTTTTCATGTTTTGTCACTTTTCTGTCACTTTTCAGGGTAAAAACATTTTTATTAAATATAAAATGAATTTTACAAAACCACCGTTACCCTTCTTTGGAAATAAGAGTAGATGTAAAGATATTCTATTGAGAGAACTTAAGAAACTGCCGAATGGTCTAACATTTGTAGATTTGTTCGGTGGAAGTTTCTATATATCTCATTTGTGCCATACTGTATTTCCTGACTCAAAGATTATATGCAATGACTTCGACAACTATATGAACCGTCTCAAACATATACCAGACACAAACAAAATATTGAAAGAGTTAAAAGAAAAGATACCTATAGGTAAGATGGAACGTATACCATTAGATAAGAAAAATACTGTCAGAGAGGTTTTGAAAAAAGCAGAGTATATTGACTGGGATAGTATATCTTCTAGACTATTGTATAGTGGTTCTATAAGAGTTCATGACATTGAAACACTTATGTCAAACGTTTTATATCTTAACTATACAAAGGTTTTCAAAGAGGACATAGAAAAATATACTGAGGGTATAGAGTTTGTGAGATGTCGTTGGACAGAGTTGTATGAAAAATATAAAAACAAGGAAAATGTTTTCTTTATAGTAGACCCACCGTTCTATAACACATACGATTTTCAATACCAAGTAGACTGGACTTTGAGAGACTCTTTAGAAACTTTAGACGTTTTACATAACCATCCATGCTTTTACTTTACATCCGATAAAAGTGGTTTGGAAAGTGTCATGAGATGGTTAGAGGACATACATGACTATGAGTATAGATACGATAAGATAGAATATGAGAGAGGTCCTATAAACCGGAGAAAGTGTCACAACAAAGAAATTTTATTGGTAAGTAAATGTGGTTTGAAATAGGACTACTTGTTTTAGGTTTTTTCCATTGTGTCATTTACTTATTTGACGTGGCAGAAAGATATAGAGAATATGAAGATGAACCAATACCAGCAAATGTTCAGCATATGTACTCGTAAGAGATATTTTTATCTAATATTAAAATGGACGCACAGAACTTAGCGAATGCACAGCAACCCGGACAGCCAAACCCAGAGAATATTCCAAATGAAGTTAGAATACAAACTGCAATGGCAAACTATGGTCAAGTGCCAACAGATGTACAAATGCAAACTGCCATGTCAAATGACGCTGCGTTAGGCTTACCACCATGGTATGCAAATATGAGATGGAAAGAGTTTTATACAAACCCTGAAGTGGGATATAAACAACTCTATGCAGATGACGCGAACACAGGAGTTGACCCAGAGTATGTTTTCTACCAGAGGAGAAATAGAATGTATGAGCTCCAGTTAAAAAATGCTATGGAACTCAGAAGGAAACGTAAGAGACTAGGCGGACATTAGATTTTTACATATAGTAAAATGGGTTTCTTCAGTAGTATTGGAAACTTCTTTCGAAATGTTGGAAGAGGTATATGGAATGGAATAAAAACCGTAGGAAGAGGAGTATGGAACGGAGTCAAAAATATTGGTAAAAGAGTAGGTCAGTTCGTTGGTATTATACCTAAAGACCCTGAACCAGAAGAACAAGCTCCTGTTATACAACAGCCTGAACCTGCACCACAGTCTAGTTGGCAACCAAATCCAACACCTCAACCGTATTAAAAGATTATATTTTTACCGTTCGATAGTAGTTGTATATGAGACTAAGTTCTAAGTAAAACGCGTGGTATAATGGAACTATTCTCTTTCTTCCATCTGTTGTAAACCATACTTGAAAGTCTGAAATACTTCCACTCGGTGGTTCATATAGCTTTGTAGGTTTTTCGTAAAAGTCATTTGCCAAGCATAAAAAAGAGTTTTGTGCACCAGAAAATGAAGCATGAACGATAATAGCATCTGAGTCGAAAACATTTTCATATGTTCCATTAGGGTTTTCGACTTCATAAAAGTCCGGGTGTACTGGATATTCTGCAGGCTGATTTAACATCCTCAAAAACCTATACCATGCCAAGTTGTTATATTTTGTAGAAATATAAACGTCTTCTCCAAGGTCTTCTATTCTATTGATTTTAACAGTTGCATTTTTCCTGTCATATAAAATATCGAGATGGTACTCTCCTTCGTCAATGTTAAACTGGTTTGCATATTCGAGATAGATATCGTTTATTTTTTCTTGAAAAGCTTGAAGAGTTGTTTCTAAGTTTACAAGCAAATTCACTTGTAAAAGTTTTCCCTGTTCAAATTTCTCATACGTACGTTTTTCTTTGTTATAGTATCGAACTTCAAAAGCGACCGTAAATGGGAAACCATGTATGGCTTCTGAAATGAACTTCATTCTACGAAAGCCAATAGCTTTTGTGACAGATGGGTCTCTTAACCATCTTAACGGGTAGTCAAAACGATAGCCTTCATGTTTTACGGTCTCTGTCTCAAACTTTTGACCGACATTCGTAAAAAGTTCATCTAATGGTTTAGTTGTAGCAACTCTTGAATTTTCTTTTTCTATTGAAAGCATTTTTTATCTAGAATAAAAATGTCGAAAGAAACAGCGTCTATGAGAGAAATACAACACAACCGACAACTCATTTTGCAAGCTCTAAATAAGAACACAACAAACTTTTCAAACTATTCTAAGATATCTGAGTCATTGAAAGAAGGAAACTTAAAACTGACGATAAACCCAATGACAGATGAGTTTCTGTTTCAAGACAGTAAGAACCATACTGTTTGTATAAATCCAACAAAAAGAACTTTAAACGAGAAACCTATAGATGAACTTCTTTTGAAGGCAGATATTGACAACAAAGCTGACAAAGAGTATGTTGACGATGAGTTAGCATATCTGGCTAGTGGGTTAGTGAAGAAGGCAGATAAGGAATATGTGGATGAAAAAGATGAAAAAATTAAAGAAATGGTTGAATGGTACCATGAACGGACATCGAAGATTTTAGAAGGTAAAGCTGATACAGGATGGGTTTCAGGATGTTTAGACCTTAAAGCCGACAAGAACCATACACATACCATTGCAAATATTACAAACTTACAAGAAACCTTAAACAGGAAAAGTGACGTTGGACATACACATACCATTGCAAATATTACAAACTTACAAGAAACCTTAAACAGGAAAAGTGACGTTGGACATACACATACCTTCTTCTCAACTGTTGGTATAGAAAGTATTTTAGGAACGATTGAAGAAAACTGGTGGGGGTGGATTATATTTTAAACCTCCTAACTTTCCAGAAGGTTTAACATCGGATAAAGACATTAGATGTAGAAATGTCTATGTCATGGAGGATGAAAAAAAAGTTAAATTCACTGCTCAAGATTTATATGATAAGAAAGCTGACAAAACAGAGCTTCAAACGTTAAAGACAGAAATACTTCAAACACTATATCCTATAGGTTCTATTTACACGTCAATGAACTCTACCAGACCAGAAGTAGTACTTGGTTTTGGAACTTGGACTCAAATAGTCGACAGGTTTTTGTATTGTGCAAACTCTTCAAAGGAAACAGGTGGAAGTAAAACGATTTCAGGTGAAAACTTACCTGCGCACAGTCACTACATAGATTTAAGTACATCTCAAGCAGGTTGGCATAAGCATAGATATTGGGATTGGTCAGGAATGATAAAAGGTAAAGGATATGATGTTAAAGACAACGTTAAGTTTGCTATAGATTGTTACTGGAGTAACACTGAGGGAGGAGGAAACCATATACATCGCGTTTCAGGATATACGCAAACAACGGGACAAAGTAAAGACTACATGCCACCTTACATGACAGTTTACGCATGGTATAGAATTGCTTAGTCGTCATTTTCAACTTCTTTAGCATATTCGTCAGGAGTTGTCTTATATTTGTTAGGAACTGTCTTTGAAAGTATACCACCTTGAACCTTAACAAGTTTGAAACGAGGTCTGACAATAGTAGTTTTATCTTCTGCTTGCAGTCTGTACATTTTGCCATGTTTGCCTAAAACTTCATAATATTCTCTTGTATACTTTCTTCTATTTTTACGAACACGAATGTGAGTACCTGTCGGGTTCCCATTGTTGTCATAGTCAATAGTATTTTCATATGGGTCGCGTTTAGGTATTTCTATTTTTACTTTGTCACCTTTCTTAAGTTTGAAGCCTGGCATTCTTTCTTGTTTGTCTCTTTTGACTAAACTATTAAATATATAGTCTTTCTCTAAGTCAGGGTTGTTTTTCATTTCTTCGGGGGAGTGGTTTCCCAAACCTTTTTGTTTACGGTTATTGTAAATATTTAAAACTTGTCTCATCTTTGCCATGGAGAAATGTCTATATTTGTCGTCATATGACATTTCATTTGCTTCACCACCTTGTGGTTGGTTTAAGTCTCTTAAGATTTTTATACAACTGTCAATGACACCAAGAGCAGAATGGTTTTGGTCGACAATGAAATATTGGTTTACATTTTTTGAACGCAGATAGTTTTTAATATCGTCTGATTTGAAAGAA